AATAAAAGGCATTGGAACAAGTTGGTCTGTCATATATATTTCATTACAGTGTGGGTATATAACACTGAATAATATTATATGTGATATATAATAATATTACTAGTTTTGGAGTAATTAAACGAATTTCTATCCCACTAAATAATTTTTGGTTTCTAGTGCCACCAACTGGTGCTGATCAACATTATATCTGACAAAATGTGAATATAACAGGACAAAGCACGCACAGAGATAAAACACAGTAAAAAGGGTCATGTGGGGGAATATTGTGCCAACATGTGATGTCTGCTGCATGTATATGTGGAATAGGGTAGAGCAAAATGAATGATAAATTACTTTATCTTCCAATAATATGGGTAGTAAGACATCAAGTTATTTAGCTGCATGTAAACACACTATTAGTGGGGGGGTTAATTAATATATTTTCTAAATGATTTTACTGATAATTATTCCAGCCAGTGAAGGTCTTTACAGCATGTGTCGCTGTACTGTGGATATTGTTCTGGATCAGTTCCTCAGTTTTACAGGAGCTCCGAGATAACTTTAACACGGAACAGACGGGACCATAAAGATAACACTGACAGCAATTATTATATGAAGAGCATAACGACTCTTTTTCATCAACACCCTGCTCCACAGTACAACTTTAATCAACTATTGTGATGCATTTATTTGAACAATAAGCCAAATTTTGCCACCACACCAAAACAGCAAATATATTCTCCAAATTGTTCAGCGCTCTCAAACATTTCTATCTCCCAAAAGACAGGAAACACTGTCACACTGTTTCCTTTCAAATGTCCTCTTTGTCACATTAAGACTAGTCCAATACAAACTGACAAATTTTAGGCAGAGACTTCTGGAGGAATCACATATTCCCTTGATCAGCACCAGTTGGTGGCACGAGTGATCTGTGTCAATTTAGGATGGTGTAGCATGCAGGCTACGTGTGCATGTTCAGACGTAGATACATTACCTTGCTTTATCACTTAATTGTTTTACTATTATATTTATTATTGCTAATTAATAATGTTTTTACTTTTGGTTCATTTATCTAGCTTTTATTACCTTAGAATTTGTAACATTTGTTTTAAAAAGTGCTGCATAAATAAATACACCATTATTAGTATTTTAACCAGAAAGGTAACACAACACACACATTACTTTGTGGCAATTACTCCAAACCTTACTGTACAGTATTATATAGTGTTAGTTATATTTCTTTGAGATGCCATATATTTACCCACACTGTAATAAAATATATATGACAGACCAACTTGTTCTAATGCTTTAGCCTTTTATTGTTGCATAAAGAAATATCAGTTCACTCAGCAGAATATATGTGAGGTTGTGCTTAAAGG